AGTTTCGAACCGCTGACCTTAAGATTCGCAGCCCGATTCGTAACCACTACGCTACCAGAGTTATATTATAAATGAATAAGTACACATTGTAGGACCATGTTCAAACCTTTGTACTGTTTAAACAAACAAACAATCAGAAGAAGCAAAACCAAATAAGCTAATCTATTACCGTTGAGTAGCACACCCCATGTGTTACAGAGTAGAACTGAACTCCACAGGGTTTTCTTGGCTATAATCTTTATGGAAGCAAATTGTCAACACTTTCTGCTACAGTGCTGCTGGGTGAGTTTGAACCACCTACCTTTAGGTTATTGTTGATGTTATTAGGTGCTATTGAGTCAGTACCGATTCACAGCGACCCTATGCACACCAGAACGAAACACTGCCTGGTCCAGTGCTAACATCACAGTCATTGCTATGCTTAAGTCAGTTGAGTGTAAACCATTAAAGACCTTTCTTACTGTTATGGGTATATGAATAAATTATTTGGTACCACCTATTTAAAGGACTTACCATACTTAAAAATATGATTCACAAATGTTTTCAAAGTTGAATCAGGAGAGCTGACCAAAATTTTGATCCATACATTAATTGAAAATGCTATGATTTCTACTTGAAGTTGAATATGTTGCCAGTATCTTACCCTTGTGGAAGTTCACTTCCTTACAAACTAGAGTCTCTGAAAGGCTTAATCACAAGAAAATTATATTAGGAATAATGGATTCACCTACTGAAAGTTAAATGAACCAAACTCTGCCAGAAAGTTGAAGATTTAATGAAATATTCATTTTTCTACGTTATTTGGCATCGGGAAAAAGATGAGGATTATTGCTCCCATAAAGATTTACAGCTTCAGAAACCTTACACTGGGTCGCTGTGCGTCCAAACCAACTCAAGAGCATTTAATAACAACAACAACATTTGGCATGCAGTGGAAACCACACATAGAGTGTATTTGTCACTATGATCTTGTGATCATTGCAAAAAGACCTACACAAATCTCCCTAGAAGATGAACTCTTCATCCTAAATAGCACAAGCTCTCTTTTCAGGCTAAAATTAAAGCATTATCATCTTATTCCTAGTAAAATTCATGTTTAATATAGGTAATGAATTACAATTTGCCTTTGGCTTTACATAATTTCTAATGGCAGACAATGCTAATTATTGTCAAATATGATATCAGTGGGAATAATGAAGGAACAAATGCTGTCCAATTTATGGACTGGGTTTCCCCCCCCTAAAAAAAACAATCAGTGTCATCACAATGTAATTGAATGCTAAAATGGGATTCTTTCTGTTCAGTTCTTGTGTAAGCCCTATAGATGCCAAATTTCCCCTCTTTTCAAAGTGAGATGCTACACCATTAAAATAGGACGTATAAAGGAGACAGAGAAGAATCAGTTGTTCTGAACCTGGTGACCACCTTCAGTTTGTCAAATGGGTTGAAGAAACCAATAAAAAGGAATTGGAGAATAGAAGAAGATTTTTGGAAAGCATTCTCATTATATATAAAGTACCAACCTAGTAGAATAGTCTTCCCTCACCCCGAATACTCAAAAGTGGGAGAACTTGGAGATACTGTAAACTGATGTCAAGCCTATACCTGAGCAACCTAAATAAGAGGAACTGGAGTTTTTGATGGCTGAATAAGAGAGGAGGCTGTACTGGATAGACAGGACTCTTGTCAGAGCAAAGAACATGGAAGGCTTCTCATGGAATAAGAAGGAGTCTTAGCATGGGATTGTTTCAGATTATGCCCAAAAGACTACCTGGAGGAGTGGGGAGACCTCAGCAAAAAACTATATGTTCCCTTAATGTCAGAGGAAATGCATCAGAAACTGCCATGAGAGATTCACAGTAATAAGAGGAGTCTCCAAAGGACACCCAAAGCACCCCTCTAGAAAGTCAGCCTCAAGTGGCTACACCAATGCAAGGTTGCTAGAACAGAACCATATTTTCCCTGGTCCTAACTCCTCACTTTCTCTTAGCTTTAACTTTGGAGGAACTGAATGCAGTGAAACAGAGGAAACATTTCAAGCTCCTTCTTCTTCTTCTTATAGAAGAAGCCATTTTGAATCAGACCTGAGCTGAATCAATTACGATTCGTAGACTGGACTGTACATATTAATTATTTCACTGAGATTTTTGAGAGTGTAAAGTAAGGAGAAGACATTTTGCCCCTGAAGCTTACTAGAGATGCCATAGGGTCCATTGCATTTTTT